CAGAGGTAAGTACTACTCTATCTTCGCATCCCTATATTTGTGGATATAAGAGTAGCGGTCAAAAAAATTCGCCAGCACAGTATTGCGCCCTTACTCTCTCTGAGAAAAAAAGGATGGTGTTTTCCTCATGGGTAATTTTTGTTTTTTGCGCACAAAGTATAAAAGCTAGTCAATAAAGCCCGAAGGGAAGTTCTGGTGAGTTTTTCGGACGCTACTGCACCCCTGCACCCCGTGCACAATTGGTAGGGGTAGAGTGTGAGTGCTGAAGGAAAGTAGGTTGAATTTAAAAAATTTCTTCGTCACCATATTTGGGTCGTGAATGTATGGGGGAGTCGTGGGAGCAGAAAAATGTTGAGCGCGTGGTAGGAGTGGACGTCTGGAATTTCCCTCTCGTTGTGTCGAGTAAGAAACTGGTAAGTCGGGTGCTGTGTGTGAGTATTGGCCGTGTGATGTGTGGACGATGTAAGGAGGTATGTATGTTGTGCCGTAACAACCATGAATATATGTTAATAAAAATTTATTGCAATAAAAATGACAAATTCATAAAAATCATTCGTGCACCCACCCTGTTTTTGTACTCGCCACCTTCCCACTACACACGTTGTCCTCGGTTTCCAACTGATGAACCTGACTCGACAAGATCCACAGATTGCTGTGCCCTGAAATGATAATGTTTTTCTTTGATTCTCCCCCTTCGAGTGTTGCTGAGACCTCCGACGGCAAGCGATACTTGTGACAGTCGAACTCACAGGCAATCGTCTTAAGAAAACCCAGCAGAGTCTTACAAGTGCAGCCTGACAGGAGCAAAAAGGGACCGACCGTCTCTTTGTCCTGGCCGACCATGCCTATCCTATCGGTCCTATTTGAATGAGCTCGAAGTAAGAAGGAGTGGGGACCCAAGTGGTGTAGTGGCAAGTGGCACGCTTACCACGCGAGCGGTCCGGGGATCAAATCCTGGGTCGTGAGTCGCCCGGGCCAACCAAGCCTTCCATCCCTCCGGGGTCGGTTAATTGGTACCAGACTTGTCTGGGAGGATAAAAACACTGACTTGTACATCGGCTGGCCCAT